CGCTTCTGAAAATATTGTTCCTTTTTGCACCATTCACTCCAAATTGTACATAGAGCCTGCAACGCTCTTTGGAATCCCATGCTGTTGGGTGCTATATGCCTAAATTGGTTCCAGATATAATTTCGTCGGTATGTTCAGTGTCATACTGTAAATATTGTGCTACTATAAATATCGTTATAAAATAAAGACTATTAGGGCCTATAAAATTTCAGTGTAAGCTTATAAAATATATATCTAATGTAATCGCCAAACTTTTTATAATTCTTATATTATATGAAAATCAATTACACACGAATTAATTATTTCAGTTTCGCTACAGCGCCTTTCACTCAACAATATTCATAATTTATTCAAATTTCTAATACTACTGCAATTCTCATAACTATGTATTAAGCTGTGTAGAGTTGAATAACCTTTAAATGATTTTTCAAATATAAAGTAAATAGAAAGTCTGTACTTTAGGAAATACAAACAGTTGTCGAAATTGAGAGATAATTTTATTTTCGGAAATTAAAAGAATGCTTACAATGCTAAAGCTTTTTAAAAAAGTATTGAATGTTTGCACGATTTTCTATGTTCCTACAATTATCATTATAACAAATCATATTAAAATAATTTTAATGAAATAGAAAATATTTTTTATTTTATTTTATTTGTGAGTTAACAATTATATTAATTTTAAAGTTAACTAAGAATAAGACACTGGTAGTTCCTTTGCCTAGTAGAAATAGGAAATAATTCCAGCTAATGCTACGATTAGGTATTTTTGCTAATGAAAACTTAGAACACTTCCTTCGTACGCTCAGGAAAACGGGCATGAACGAGTTACTTAAATTTTGTGTGCTTCTGATAAATAAATACCGATTCTTATGAATATGTAAAATTTATAAATATTTACTTAAGCATTTGAAATACATTCATCAAATAAGTATGACTTTCAAAAAAAATTTTTCATAACTTTAGAATCTTTAAAAATGCTGCGCCCATTATTTTTGAAACTTGCAAGTATTCAAGTCTATTTACCAAAGCCTGTACTAGAAATCTCTCTAGTACAAAAAAAAAACTTAATTTAAATATGTCGAACTTAATAAAGCATAGCACCACTGTAACTATTATACGACTACAGATATATAATTTATTTTGTCTTAATATGGGATACTATTTACACTAGATGGTTCGAAGTATTCCTCTAGTGAACACCTTTAGGTTCTAATTATAAATACATTTTTATGTTATAAAATTATTACATAAAATTAAAAATATATATTTTATGTCATCAGCACAAATAAAAAATAAAATATTAAACATATGTAAAGGTACCACATAAATCTTTATATTTATATACAATTAATATTTACATTCAAATTTTTTTAATGTATAAAGTGTAATAAACAAATCATATAAAAATATTAAAAAAAGGAACACAGCTAATTGGATCCATATGTCATAATATAAAGAATATAGCTGACCTTAGTATAATTACACTACTTAAACTTTAAAACGTTTAAGGTTGTTATTTTAAATTATTACAATTATTATTATTATTATTATTGATTTAATTCAATAATAGAGTTTTTCGCTTTTACACGGCCAATGTAGCGATTATAAGGTGAACCAAATATATAATAGTTCTTGTGATGCAATACATGTGAAATGGCACCAATCGACTGATCAAAGCCATGCAAAGCGTCGACGATGTTTCCCTCCCAATCAACACGCACAACAGTCGTACGTTTTGGTGCCAACATCAGAATACTCTCACCATTGCCAATAAAATGTATCGCTTTCTTGGATATACTATTTGGCAAGAAGCTGTTAATGAAACGGAAAGGTACCTCCAAAAAGCTCAGTAAGCGTATCAGCAACATGCGTACTTTAGGATAATTTGAAAATAGCGCAAAACCAGAAGGATGCTCTTTATCAACAGCCATTACCAAAGGCACCCAAATGCCAGTTTCATCGGGTGTTATATTATCTGGATGACCAGGTAAACCTTCTACGAAAACTTCACTTTGTCCGGCATTAGTACCCTTCAAATGATATTTTATTAAGCGCATCGCACCAGTTTCGACAACTACCAAGAAATCTTCATTAGGACTTAGAACAACACCATTAGCGAAAAATATTTCATCAAGTAAGATTTGACTCTCATTAGTGGCGCGTTCGTACTTGAACAAACTACAAAAATAAAAACAAACTGTTATTATACCATGAAATTTTTTTAAATGAAATCTATTTACCGTCCTGATGGATTAACCACTGATGCAAATACTAAATCTTGAAAACCATAATCAGATGAAGAATCAGTCCAATAAATGACTCCCTTCTTATCTACAGCTACGCCATTGAATACTCTAGCTTTGCGTATTATAGTTTTGCCTGGTAAAGGTTGTTTAGCTGAGACAAGCAATGTTTTCTTATACGTATCCAAATCAACTGACCACAAGCCATAGTATGCATCTGCGACAATTATATTATTGCCTTGTGTATCGAATGCCAAGCCTAGCGGACGTCCGCATATAGGTTCATCATAGGTATGTACTATATTGAATAGTTTTTATTAACACTTCTTATATAATAAAAATATTTATAACAATACTAAACTTACCACATGGTGCACCGATTTTGAAAATTGGCGTTACTTTGTCACCAACAATTTTAACCACTTCGCCACCATTCACACCGGCGTAGATAACATCATTGCGTGCAATTAAACACTCTGGTCCATATATACGTCCTTCCAGTAAATGCTGCGTACCATCAAGGTAATTATTGGGCTTAAGTCCTCCAATCAATTCACGCGTGGGCGGCACACTACATAAAATATTGATGGATAATTATAAAGTTTTATATATTTTCATAACTGTGAACTAACTCAAATTCTTTAAAGGGAAACGTGGTCGGTGAAGGTATCGTGAAAAAAGCAACAAATAATGCCAAAGCATATATTGAAAATCTTGATTGAGCCATTTTATCGTTTTAGTAATACAATTTATTTTATTTATTTCTTTCTTGCTCCGTGAACAACTCAACACAACAACCTCAACGCACAACGTTTGTTTACGCTATAACCGAATTATCTTCCAGCACAGCTGTTTTAAGCAATGAAGGGAGGAAAGCAAAGCCGGCAAAATTGATCGGTTCGCTGATTAAACATACTGCATGAGAATTCGGTTTTCAGGTTGTTGATTCACGTGGATTTGTTTAGATAAATAAAAATTTAAATAGGCAACGAGGAATGTTCCTATTAAATGCACTGATAACGCTTGTCTGCTGATAATGGATTGATTATTATTATGTATTAATGCTTTTATAAATAACTTCTGATAAAAACCTGATATTTTACTATTCGTTATGATGTAGCAATAAATAAATTCTTCCGTTTTATGTTGAATACATATGTATTTTTTTTATTAGAATTATCTAGAATGTTATTTCGCTTCCGAAATAAAAAATATGTCGATTTTGTGTGATAGGAGTATTTATTTTTGAAGTAAGATATAGTAATGATATAGTAATGCATCTCACATTTAATTTTAAAAATAAGGTATAATAGTGATCTAAGTCTCCAGTGAAGAGTAGCACCGCAGATTCTTTATGCTACATGCTATCATGACTGAAACCAGAAAGTGGGACAGTTCCCTAGCATAGAAATCCTGATCTCCTGAATCCCGTGTACATTATGAAATACTGCTTCTATCACACTAAATCATGCAATTCACTCTAAACGAAGAAAACACATATAGTTTTTATAATGATTTCCAGAATATCCGTCTTTTAAGAGTTGCTAATATTATATGGCTACAAAGCGTCCTTCTTTTGTCTAAGATTAAAGACGAATAATGAGACAGTAAGTGACTAGCAGTTTTATTCTTCTGCATGTGTAGAGAAAATTTTGTCACTGCAAATAATAAGTTTTTTCCGAGGGAATCACATTAAGAAATAGATGTCTGCAAGTTCAAGTGTTGATTAGTTGTATCAACACTATCACTCGGGTTGATAGTGCTAAACTAAATAACAAGTTAAGAGGTTTATATTTTTAATACCTTATATTCTTTTTATTAAATTTTAGAGTGTAATGGTGGATTCGGTCACATATTAATAAATACACGAATTATTATATTTATCCCTTAAATTTTATTACATTAATACAGGTACTGGCAAAGTTGACAAAAAGTAAACTAATTTAATTACATTGTTAAGCTTCTTGACTATAAATACCTAAGTCAAATCTATTTTACGTATTCTACTTGACAGTCAGGCCCTAGACAATTTTACTCAAAAGGAAACTCTCACGATAAGCAATTCTGCTAAAACTTCATTTATGTCAAGTCTATAACTATTCATATCGATGATATATAATATAGGAATAGGTTACGACCCTAAACTGGTTATGTTAAAAAGAATATTGTTTGGTTGATAAAGGCAATCTTTTGAATTCACCTTTGTAGAATTAGTATTGGAATAAATATAAAAATTTTACCTCTAACATCCTTAGTGAAGCAATTAATTGCTCAAATTTTCCAAAACTGTTAACTATATATATCGGAGTTTGGTGGCTCTCTAGTATAACTAAAACAAGTATTAGTTTAATTGATTTTATTGCACAAGAAAGTGAATACAATAAGACTGCGCACTATTACCACCGTTATGTCTATTGTATCCTATATAAAGTTCATTAATATCTGATTTTTTAAAGAAAATAGAAAATGGATCAGTTTCTGTTAGATTAGATTCTATTAAGTCAGTTTCTGTTAGATTTCCAATTAACGACCCCAAAATACAGCTGAACATTTAAAAATGAAATGCTTTCGTGTCTCTTCGCCTTCACAGCAGTATATGTATTCTTCTGATTAAAAATATCCTACGGTAGTTCCGCATAGCATTTTGAATTTACGTCTGATGGATCGTAGCGCAATCTCTTCGCCCTTCTTATTGAAAAAAATGCATTTCCTTTGCTCTATTATTCAAATACTTTTTTCCAAAATTGATTTAACAGTTAAAATTCTTTTAAAAAAGTGTTGTCATGGCTTGATGGATGAATCGCTCAATACTATTGTTATCAGAAGTATAGTTAAAACAATAACAATAATCAGCCCCCATTGGTATGATATCATTTTAATTTATTAAATAAACAACAGTAGTAATTTAACTTGAAAAAAAAATTAGCTACGTCATCATTGGGATTAAAAATCGTAGCAATTACTGAAAATTTTATCATTTTGACATAGTTTATAATAAATAAATTTCTATAAAAATTCACACATTCTCCATAATGTTATAGAAACCGGACAGACCTTAGAGAGCACTACTAATTTGATCAATTAAATTAATAGTGATATATATTTTTATAACGAAAAAATGGCTATACATCAGATGGTGAAGTATTTTCTAAAGGCCTCCTGTTTTGTGGCTAGCATAATCTTTCTTGCAGCTGTACCAGGTCTTCCACCACATACAACATTTCCAACCGCAGAGTTCAAGTAAGTATCAAGTATTCTTAAAATTGTTTTTAACAATAATTCAATTTTATTAGTGTAACTCTTCCACGTGAACTTGAGGGTCCTTTAGCTATAAATAAACTACTCGATTATGCAGACCACATACTAAAAAATGAAATTAATGGTCCCGAAACTATAATCGGTCGCGGTGATACAGTGTATATGGGTCTTAATGGTGGCAATGTAGCAATATTTAAGAAAGGATTAGTGATGCCCATTTTTCAAATTGGAAAGCCATGCAGTGAGTTAATTATTTTATTATATGCAATTATATAAAAAAATGACCTATTACAATTAAAGATACTAAGAATTGAAATTCTCTATGCTTCCTGCCTATATATGTACATCTTTATGCGCAAGTTTTGATTTAATATAAAATTATTAATCGATTTTTAGAAAGACGCAGTTTTGACGAGGCCGTGTGCGGTCGTCCGCTTGGGTTGGCATTTGATACGAAGGGTAATAATATAATTGTGGCTGATGCATATTATGGAATTTGGAGAGTAGATCTTAAAAAATATAGAAAAACGTTGTTAGTATCGCCAAAGCAAATTTTGCCAGGAAAGTTTATTAACCGCAAAGCAAAAATATTCAACGGTGTAGCAGTTGACTCGAAAGGCGATATCTATTGGACTGACTCTTCATCAGATTTTACATTCGAAGATTCAGTACTTGCAGGCTTAACAAATCCATCAGGACGGTGAGTTTTGTCTATTACCTGTGCTATTTTTACATGTCAATATATCCAATATACTTTCATAGACTTTTTAAATATGATCGTTCAAAAAATATCAGCACCGTTTTGCTCGATGAACTTTTCTTTGCAAATGGTGTTGCTATAAGTCCTCAAGAAGATTTCGTCGTTGTTGCTGAAACTGGTGGTATGCGTTTAATGAAATATTATGTAGATGGTATTCGAACTGGTGAAAGTGAAATATTTATTGATGGTCTCCCTGGTCATCCCGATAATTTGACACCTGATGAAAATGGTATATGGGTGCCATTAGTAAGTTCAGCGGATAAAAATAATCCATCAGGATTTGCTGCACTTTCACAGTCTCCACAAAAACGCGAATTTATAATAAGACTATTGACAATCTTTGAAATGCCATTTAAATTCGTGGAACATATAATACCGAATCCTTTTTGTAAATATTTCATTCATTTCATCGGTCACAGCAAGATGTTTTCTGCTCTGTTACCAAAACGTACGACAATCATTCGATTGGATTGGAATGGAAATATTGTCGGTGCCATGCATGGATTTGATGGTTCGGCCAGTATGGTCTCACATGTTTATGAGAGTGGAAAGGAGCTTTTACTCGGTTCGCCAGTTAATCGTTATGTAACACGGGTTTTTTTGAAGGTTAAATAAAATTCATAAATCTTTAAAAATGTCATCATTTTAATATTGATAAATTGGATACATATATATAGAAATTATACATTTAATTATATCTCAACATTTAGTCCTTGTTAATAATTATGTTCAATAAAATGTTTTAGATAATTTAAAAATATTTTTTAAGAACAGTATTTAAATACATTATAAAATATATTATAATATAAATTACATTCATAATTTAATTTAATATATAATAAATAATTTAATAGGACACGTTTTTCCAAGGGTCTTTCATTGAACGATAGTGAAACTAACTCCTCCACTCGCTCTTTAAACACAAGTTCAAGTGTATTAAGCTCTGGGGATGTGATGCATCAACATAGAAATATTGGGAATTTTATAATTCAAATTTGTATAATAATTATTGATTTTAAAAATAAAAATAAAGCGCTACTTTTTTAGCCAAACTCCATGTATTCATTTATTTTATTTATATTTTTTACTGCACCGTATCACATATTAAAATCGAATTGCCTATGACATTTTACGTTCCACTTTTATTTTGTACATACATTCCACATTGAACCAGAATCTGAATCAGTTCAATTGCTGGTACACCCGATTATTATTGTTTTGCACTTAAATTGAGCAGATCACTGTTTGCTGAAACGTAGCTATTGACTCATTTATTTTATTTTTTAATTTATAATGCTTTATCTCTTAAAAAATACTCCGTACAAGAGAATTTACACATCACATACAGACATTTTTCCCAAGCAATTGCGTGTGGAATCTATTCAAAATGCAACTCTGGGGAACTGTTTTGAATCACCAACATAACTTCAACACATTACAACATTCGTAAACAGCTGTTACTACATTTACTACGGACATTAATCTCTATTATCAAAATATAAATGTTTTAGGAATTTGTATTTAATTTAAAATTAAAAACCAAACGTGGTATAAATTTAATACGCTATGTCTCAAACTATAAAAAGTGAATTTGGTAAATAATTGAATATTTTAATTTAATATACACATGCCATATTATACATTTTACTTAGGATTTCGTAATCAGGACGATTTTGTTATGGACTATGACCATATGACAGTGAAAACAAAAGAAAGTAATAAGACTTCATCACGTTGTAGTAGTGCTGGTAGCACGCATACACCAAACTCATCCGCACACAATTCAGGTAAATTATTTTTAAAGTAATAAATATTAAAAGTATATTGAATTTATTGTTGTCTAATGCACAGATGATGATGACAGTGGCAATGGTAATGTAAATTCAATTGCGACAACTACTTCATCCAATTATAAAGAACGTCGTAGAGAAGCACATACACAAGCTGAGCAGAAGCGACGTGATGCTATTAAAAAAGGTTACGACAGTTTGCAAGAATTGGTGCCAATGTGTCAAGTAATAAACATAAAAAATTGTGTTTACTTAGTTTAAATTGTTTTATAATTCAGCAAAATGATTCAGCTTCGGGCTACAAACCAAGCAAGGCTATAATATTACAAAAATCAATTGATTATATCGGCTACTTAAATCAGCAGATTAAGAAACAAGAAGACGAAATTGGTGTGCTGCAAAAAGAAGTGACTGCTTCGCGTATCATACAAACCAGTTACGAGCATATGCTACAACATCAGCAAGCAAATCCAGGGCCAGAAGAAGCACGTCTAACCGATGAAGCTAAGTTTCAAGTGGTAAGTAAGAAAACTCAAACGATGAGTCACGCATGAATAAACGTATATATATGTATATATTTGTACAAAGAAAATCATCATATTCAACTATAAAAGAAAATTTTTTGTTTACTTGTTGAGCATTCAGCAAATTGCTATTTGATACAATTTTTATATTTTTTATTTCATTTGTATTTTAAAGCTTTGTAAGCAATTTTTAATAAGCACGTTTTGTTTTAGTTTCAAGCTATAATGGATGAAATGTTCGACACGTTTCAGCACATACCGATGGACAACTTTAAACAACTCACCTCCGGTATTATTCCTTGGTTAGAGGAGCATTGCAAACCGCATATTTTGCGTAATATATTAAATCAAACTCTGCAGCAAATGGCAGAGGCAGCCAAACAGCAAACTCAAAGTATGGATCAAAATGATTCGAATGCTTACAGATAACTTAGCACTTATTTCTTCAATTTTTTTTTCTGTTTGTATTATTTCATAACGTTATCAAGTTAGTTTAAGGTTTTCGGTACATATTTTATATATAAATACAGCGGAAGTTCTGTTAAACGGACAACAATCTTAACCATGCAATATTGTTCGTCCTCAGTTTTAATTTCTCATACAAACTACATTATTTTAAACGAATAGTTCTCTTCACAAAACAGAATTTCTTGGTCCCACTGGTGTCTGGTTAACAGAGCTTTCACTGTAGACGGTTCTTTTTGTTAAATATTCCGATAAAAGTATATTTTATTATTAGCAAATGTAAATATGTCGTAAGTTTCAATAGTTTTCTGTATTGATATTGTTTTGAACGAATTGTGTTTAATACTTGAGCTGTTTTTTTTTCTTAATATGTGTAATATAACTAAATAAAATTACCCTATATATAACAATCTGTTTTTAATAAAATAAATAAAAACGTATTGCATAAAAAATATATTCAATTAGCTTCGGCGGCTTACACAAAGCGAGTTTGCAACAATCCATATATTAAACTTAATAATTTTTTAATTGTTTAATTTTCTTATAACTATAAAAATCTTATTTTACACAAAAACCCATTCATTTTCAATAACTATTGCATTAGTTTCTTTTTAATAAAAGAGTGTAATTAATAAGTAAGCAAACATTTATTTTATTATTTTTTTTATGCAATATCAGTGTCCTTAATACAAATTTCTTATGAAAACATCTCTCTATTAACGCCAAGACATCTCAAATCTTAATGGTCATAAAAAGCGCATTGCACTTAAACGGTAAGTATGATTAAACCTAGTTTGGGTCAAGTAAATAAATGCAAACTTCATGGTGAGTAGAGCTACGAATGGGGTACACATTGAGAATAACCGTGTGCGCATGAAACAAGTAACTGGACATCATATAGATTGGACAGTTTTGATGCACGTGAGTGGCGTTTTTTATGCCTAAAGATTTTATGTATAATCTTTTTGAGAGCAGCCACTTTTTTGGATTACAGTTGTGAAAGTCTTACACGATATGCGATCTTACTGAAGAAGTTCTCTGTTGCGGTAGGTGTCAATGTATTCTTGTTAAGTAGGATTCAACGTATGCAACCTGGAAGTAGGCCTCTACTCATTGCGGAACCATCTGTCCCTCTGGATATCCATTTGTGTGGCACGATTGAAGAAATTATTTTGACAGCAGCCGGTTATATTACTTAACAAGCAGCATTGTGTTTATTAGATCGTATATTTTTATTTAGACTACAATTTTTACTATGATTGAAATATTTACTATATAACTTAGAAATGTATTACTAAAAATTTGACTAGGTGATATTTTAATGAATATTTATCATTATTAAATTATCTACGAGTTACTATGATTACTAGCAATTATTTAGTCAGGGCGCTACTGTGGCTTAACTACGAAATTTAATCCTTCACAATAATATATATTTACTTTTGATTACATCGCAGCATACACACAAAATGTGAGCACAAATACATTTGAACACAAAAAATTAAATTAAATTATTTAAATTAATTATTATTTATAAATTATTAAATAATTACCAAATAAATAGTTAAACTAATATCAAATTAATTACAATTACTCAAGTAATTACCAAATAAATACTTAAACCAATATCAAATTAATTACATTTACTTAAGTTTTACTTAAAACTTAGTTTTTCATGAGCGTACATTCGCTAACGTATTTTTCTACTCCATTTACTCCGTATAAAACTCTCGGTGACGAAAGAGACATACTAGCAATTTCTGTTCACATGTGAAATGTTCGCTTGGTGAAGGGATATAAGTCCCAAAAATGCATGAAAAATTTATAAAGACACTTAAATTAAATATAAAAAAAATTAACTTATGGTTAGTAAGAAGATTTTGAAATGCAGCTACCTTAATAAAAGCTGATTAGTCAGTTTGAATAAATATATGATTTATACTAGGAATCTATTAAATGTATATTTCAAACATTTGTGTCAAGAAAAAACTAGATTAACTAGTCTTCGTTAATTTAATTGGCATCTATTTTAATTGGCAAGCTGTGCGATTTTTTGTATCCAGTCCTCATAACCCACACTATTTTGGCTTACTTTGTGCTTTACTAGCTCAGTCACTATTAAGGACTCCTTGTCGAAGTTTACGAGTAATAACAAATCAATTAATTTACAAAGCGTATAGCACTTAAAATTATTCAACTTGAAATTCTCCAGTAGGACTGCTTGCAGACTTTGTAAAAACTTCATATTCTCTACTTCCGTTGTAATGTAGAGCGACTCATGGTTAATTTTTGCTAAACCCTCAATGAGTGTAAATATTAAACCTTCAAAGAAATTCTCATTTTTAATATTAAATATAATGCTAGCTATACTGAGCAGCAAATGCGGTAGCTCGTAACGAAACTCGTGGGCACGTATCAAACAAATTGCGGCCAGTTTACGTACTTTCTCATAATTATGTGACAACAGTGTCCACATGGAAGTCCGAAACTCCATCAATGCCGTGATATCGTCGGGATCGTTCATTAGTACATGCTCAACTTTGACAAAGAACTCTAAGAAGAGTATAACAGAACGTGTGGAATTGATAGATACATCACTTTTGGCACAATAACGTAACATATAAGCATAAGCTTGTGGCAGCTTCCTAATAATATCATTATGCGTAATTTCTGCTGATTCCCAAGCCATGGGTGTTTCAAATTCCGTACTCTGTTTTTGACCCACAATTTTAGGTATTAGTGCACCAAATAATTGTAGTGCTGCATTACAAATCACCCAATCCGGATTATCAATGCACTTTATAGCGGACATTACGATTTCGTTTTGATATTGTGTCATGGCTTCACGCAACTCTGCATCTCTGAGGAGAACGCAAAGATAGTGCAGTGTTAAAGCCTCTAAACGATCGAAATTTGAGTCAACGACTTCAGCGGTTCTAGTTGTGTTTAGAATAGTCAGTATTTTGTTAATAGCTCCCTTTAATAAAGGACGTCCGCGCGGTACTTCGTTTTTTACAATATGTAGAAACATAATGGAGAAACCGGCTCCACGGCGTGTATTGCTGACCTGTTGTTCATCAAAGAAGAGCAATTCTATGCAATCATGCAATAATTTGTAAGCACTACTATTGGGTGCCATCTGTTTCGTAATGCATTTGCTTAGTTTACCTATAAACACAAAAGTAAAATTAATTGTGAAAGTAGAGTGCGATTTGCATTAATTTACCAATACTTAGTCCGGCTGCTTCAATTGCGCCTTTATGTCGACAGCGTCTTAGCACAGTTGTGTTGATTTTAAGACATAACTCTAAGCTACTTAAATCTGTTGCACACTGAACACTAGTGGGCACCAATAAACAGCCAATGGTGGTAGCTAAGTCACAACATGCCTAAAAATAGAATATAATCATATTTAATATAATTATAAAAAAATATGTACTGTTCGTAGGTATGAAGATTATGTAGGGATATTGGAACTAATTCAGATACATAAAGAAATATTGCTAACACAATTTGGTGATGCCATAAATCAATAACCCCTATTAAACTTTGGGACGTAGCCCCACCGTTCGGAATCACCGAAACGCTTTTATTAGGTTTAGCAAAAAATCACACGTAACCTACATATAGACTACAGACACTTCTTTATTTCGACATTAATATGAGGTGGACAAGATTATGCGATTAGGACACACAAATGGAATCGATGGATACATAAGTTTAAGAAAGTCTGGATCAGTTGCATACACAGTTTAATTTAGGTAAAAATTATACAGCTTTACGGCAAGCCTCGATATCTCGAAAACTAAGCCAAAACAGTATATAAAGTGGTGGAAGAACCGTTGTCAAATTGACATCTCTGGAAAATCGAAATTGCGGTATTTAATTAATTTCACTTACCTTAAATGTGAGCCAAAAGGACATTAGCAAAAATATGCGACTCTTCTCTGCACATTTTGTTTCATACGCACTTCTCTCTATTAATAAATTGAGACTTTCATCCATATCCTGAAAGCTTGCTGCAGTATTAATCTGTTCCTCGTCCTCTACACCAGAAAGTTTGGTTAAATTTAAGTACTTCAATAATTCATTAGAAATGTTGTGCAATAGGATGAGTTCTTCCCAATGATTGACGGTGTTCAAGCTCTTTTGATGAAATAAAATTTCATTCAATATATTCACATAACCAAACAAATGGCATCTGGTATTCAACGTCAAAAATGGATCCAACTTGAACTGTGCGAACTCCCACTTAAGGCTATGGAGTGCACTATTGTACAATTCACAAGCATCTGATTTGTGTTCCTCACTGCTCATGCATTGTACGGCTACTTTTGTGTAGAATGTCGTTAGCACACACTCTTCCACAACGATGCGACGTGCGTAGTCCTTGCAGATATCAAAAGCATATGAATCGATATAGTTCAGTTCACGAAGCAGTGAGACTATCAATTCCAATACATCATCAAAACCAAAAGGATCATTAAGCAAATCCAAAAGCTTCATAACTACATCCCTTTCATTAAAAGCCTTTTGTTCCACCAGAAATGCACCCAATTTTTGATTGTGAGCTATACAACAGTTTTTTGAATTTTTCTCGATAGTTTGTGCGTAAAGTGACTTCAGTAACTGCTCCAATAGCTTAAGCGAGAATATCTTTGGTTGATAAAGAACGCTGACAATGTTATCTTCAATTATGTACTGTAATTGCTGAAAGAAAGCTATGATGCTCGCCTCTAAAGAACTTCCACTCTCAGCCGCCAACTTGTTATATGTTTTGGCTACGTAATTGATGATGTTCGGTATCTTGTCCAAAATATTATTACGGAACTGTGCATTCTGTATACCCTTATGATGATTTATAAATGCAATAATAAATTCTAGGCAGTCCTCAATGGCAAAGTTATCAATATTGTCTACAATGACTTTATAGATTAAAATTTGAGTTTCCGTGTGGAACTGAAAACAGTTTGTGATCAACACGGTACTTATTTTGAAGAAATGCAGCTTGGATGTGTCGAAAATTTGCCTAGCAAACATGCTGAAAATAAGTACTAGACGATAATTTTCAGCTTCATCCTCGATGCTGTCCCAATTATCCAGCACACCAGCGATTTCGGTCTTTTGTTGCAACAAATTAAAAATATTTTGCTTTTGTGTGATGCGTCCAAACCATTGGCCATAAAAATTTTGCAATTCCTTAATGTTACCAGTTACTAGAATATTCACACAAAGGTCAATTAGTTCTGTGGAATTTTGTTTACTCAAACTTTTCACCACATATTGACTGGCAGCCAATAAATTTTTATATCTCAAGCTCAAACGTATACCCTCGAAAAAGTCGCTTCTCTGCTCCTTACTCAATAAATCATGCAAGCAATGCGAATTCAATATGCAACTTAAAATGTAAAGCTTGTAACGACTTGTCCATGGCCAGAATTCTGTAATCAACACAAAGTACTTCGTTGCTACGCTCAGTTGCTTGCAACCAAAATTTAGCAATAAAATTATTTCCTCTCGCAAACCACTTTGCGGCTGTTGCAAACAGCAGTAGGCATGCTCCAATGGCAACTCCAAATTCAGTTGTGGAAATTTCTTACAAAGTAAATTTAAAGCTTTTAATATTGACAAAATCGCGCATGAATTGTGTTCCACTGCTGTTGACAGCGCAGCAAGACTAACATCTCGCAATTCCTCTGCATTTAGGCATTTGGCTTTATCAGTCAACAATATTGCATATAGTAAATTGAATCCATTCTCTTGCTTTAGTAGATCTCCCACCTGTTCGAAATGTTCATCCTGCAGATCAAACTTTTGCTGCAACTGGTAATAGGCACGATAAGCCAAATTTAACAACACTTGATTGACTGGTTGCAAATCTGTGGTGCCTTCACTGGTTGCATTTTTTATCAGCTGCGCAAGTTGCTGTAATACATTCTCAGCTTCAGTTTTATTCTTGGGAAGATTCGGCAGTTGCTGTATTTAATTTTGGGCAGGGCATTAAAAAACCATTTGCTTTATAATAGTTTTCATTACTTACCTGTATAAAGTTCTTATTTTTCTCAGTCAACTCCTTTGGCAGCGAATTTAATTCATCCAAAATTGTCATATTTATATATTTTATTTTTTATTGAAAATACAAAACATTTTTATTATTTTGCGAAGCGGTTGATTCTTTACATTGTGGTCGCGTGCAATTGTTGTGATGTTTGTTGTTGTTGCTCAAATGTCAAAGTAACAGTGGGCAAAAATACGCAAACAATTTGATAACATTAAGTAAACTGTCGAAGCGATGGCGATTGTATGTATCAAAGTATATACAACGTTGTTTTTTAAAATATCAGTTTGTGAGAATAGTTTAGTTAATATAAACTAAAATAAAATTAAATCGCTTTATTTTGAACACTAACGAATAATGAAACACGACATTTGTTGTTTTTATGTTTCAAATCATTACATATAGTACTAAGAACTAACATATGACATTTCATAAATATATCATCTCTTATTGATTTTACTAACTGTAAAATATTATTAATTAGAGCAGTTAATTTAACTTCTGTATTATTGTAGATATAGTTTAACCAAAATTTAATTAAATTCAAATGCTACATCTAGTAGCTTTAGTTAACTTGCTGATTCAAATTACTCTTTACATACATATATATGTATTATATATATGAATAGTTCTTATTAAACAACTTTATCCAATTTTCAATTGTAAATCTAGAAATTTAAAAACGTTTTTGTATTTTACATCACCCTTTCAATAGAACGAAATACTTTCGCACCTTCTCTTTATACTGAATTCACACGAGAGTTTTATTTTATTTTAATTTTAGCTCTCATTTCAAATTATTCTTGATTTCGACAGGAAAACAACTTTAATTCAATAAGGTTAATATGAGAAATTTGACAGCTGAAAATAGAATTGAATGTAATTTCAACAAAATCAAGTTGATTTTAACTTGGACATTTGACCGTAGTACAGTATTCCGCAGTACAAACTTATGCTATTGTAAATAATTTTAAGGATTGAATGAAATTTTCATACAAAATGAAACAAAACTGTTATTTATCATATCTAGATAACATATGTGCAAAGTATTTATCATATGTATATATTATATGTGCAAAGTATTTAGTGAAAGTAGTTAAAAACTGAAGACTTATGATAAATCTGATAAACAGATTACAATAAAAAGTCGTGTGATTATATATTTTTGCTTTTTGATTTCAAATGTCAGCTAAAATTACAATTAAAATCCTCGTGTGAATTCAGTATTAAGTTCCATAGTTTACAAAACACGTTTACACAATTTTCATAAATTGTATGTAGGGTGTAGATTCTTACTTACAATACATATATATGAAATTTGTAATTAAGAAACAAAATTATATATACTTTTAAATTTTCAAGTATAAAGGCATAAATGTTTTAATTCTTATATAAAGATGCATAAGATTTAAATATTCTAAATTTTTTTGTTTATTTATTATCTATTATTATTATAAATATTGTAAGTGGTGTACCGTAAAATATTTCTTTGAGTTCATTTGCTCATACGAATAAGAGCAGCTCGTAAGATATTATACCGTACATGATTTGTTTGAATGTGCTTTCACTCTGCGTTTATTACGTTTCCTACTGTTTCAATAATGTATAAAAGTTTTTATTTTTATATATAAAATTCTCGCTAAAGTCTGGTCAGTGTAAGTGACGAATTAGATCAGTGCATAGTGCTTCGGAAAACAAAATATTTATAATTTTCAATTTGCTACATCTAGTAACAACATGCATTTGCAAAAATTACACAAAAACATAATAAAAACAAAGTGTAAATTTTGAACTTTAACACAAGACTTTGTCTCTTCACATCTTTCCCATATTTCGGCTTCATATATCAATTTTTATTGTGTGCTTTTCATAAACAAAATGGAGACGACGAAATCGCAACTAACATTAGCCACACAGCAAGAAAAAATTTCACATTACACGTAAATAAACAATAAAATTTGCAAAAATTAATACAATTTAAACTACTAATGGAAATGTTTTTACAGATACTTAAAAGAATTTCGAGTGGAACAGTGTCAGTCGTTTCTACAGCACAAATGCAATCAGCATCGTCCGTTTATTTGCTTCAATTGGCATTTTCAAAATCAACGTCGGCGTCGTCCTTTAAGAAAACGCGATGGAACATTTAATTATAGCGCTGATAATTATTGTACAAAATATGATGAAACTACCGGGATTTGTCCAGATGGTGATGAGTAAGTAAATATGTGAATATGTGCCTGAATAGTGAAAAGAAAATTTTTAAGCTGAAGTTCAAACTACTCCCCCCTACAATTCAATTGGAAATTTTTTTGCGTTGTTTCTTTTCTATTTTATGTATTCTCCATCATTCTTCAGTATTACTTTGTGCTGTTACTTTTGTGTTGTTGTGTTGTTTTTTTTCTGTACATTTTCTATCGCCTTCTGTTTTGATTGTGCTTCGTTCAGTTTTGTTTGCATATGAGTTTCACTTTTTTTTTTCGACTGCTCTAACAGTTTTTAAACGAAATGCACAGAACAAAAACAAAAATCAAAATATGATAACCAAAAAAATAGTAATAAAAAGGGAAAGGGAAATAGTCTGATTACAAACAAAAAATATCAGCAACGTCAACAATAGTTTTGTTATGAAAGGAAGATTGGAAGATTGTGTATATGAAAACAAAAGAGCAAATAACAAATAATTTTATAATAAGATATATTAATTTAAAGCGGGAAAGTAAATTTTATATATATAAGACAACAATAATCACTCCTATCAATATATTTAATGTAATATATATTGTATGTAATACATGACATACACAATTTATAGAGAATTTACATACTATGAAAGTGGCATAGTGTGGGCCTCAAACTCTATTCCCATTAAAATTACAACGCAATTTGTCATACCACCAATCACACCAACTGCCAACTGCATACGTCATTATTACTTAGCTTTTGCAGGAACTTTATTTGTCCTTTGTCTGTGCTTGGTTCGTAGTAAAAATGAAAGTGAAAATTTTTTTGTGTATATGTGTGAACGTGAACGCAGCAAATTCGTACACAAGAAGAAATTCCCGCTCAGCTCGTTAATCGGGTCGATTGTGTTTTGTGTGTTCTGTGCGTTCTGCATGGGGTGGAGGGTGACAAGAAGTGGTAGTGTTGCTGTTGGCCCATTTCCTTTTGCAAAACAACAACTCGATTCAATGAATTTCCTCTTTCCTCCTTATAACAATGCATATATGCCGCCGTTACTGCTACAAGTGTGTGCGTCATTGTTTTTGATTCTTGTTTTTGTGTGTTTTGTTTTTGTTATATTTTATCGTTCATTCTCGTTTTCTTTATTTTGATCCAATTACTTAGGAAGGGTGTGTGTTTTGCTGCTTGAGAATTGCTGCTTAGACGCTCTTTTTTTTTGTTTTGGTTTTGGTTTTGTGTATCTATTTTGGTGTTATGAAAATGTGTGGGTGAAGCGGCGAAAATGTTAAATGTAATACGCAATTACTCATTTCATTTGTTTATGTTTCTCCGATTATTTAATATTATCTTTATTATTATAAATTTATTTCACATTTATTTGTAAACAAATTATTATATCGGCTTGCCGCCGCCATAGAGAAGAATAAAATAAATGTTGGGAAAGGTAATAAATGCGATATTAGCTTTTAATATTGGAGGTGGGGTAAAAAAAATTAAGTAGAAAATTTTTGGTGAGGGCTACATTTTTTATAAAGCATTTGGCAAGAAAAAAAAATTATTTAATTAAATTCATTAAAATAAATTATAATCTTTTTAATTTATTTATTGACCTGTTTTTTATAATGGTTTTTATATATTTTTTTTATTATTCGGCTATAGGTCAGTTGTTTAATACTTTTTTTTATTTTTTTATAGACAATAGACTGAAGGGCATGACGTTGATATAATAGTTTTAGTAAAATTAATTTATGTTAGATCGTGATCCTGATATATTAAAAAAAATATATATATCATATATATTATATTATTAAAATATATATAAAAAAAAATATTAAACAAACTTTGAATTCTTTAACAAAAAGTGATCTATAGCCGAATGATAAAAACAAATATATTAAAAAAAATTATAAAATGGAAAAAAACAATAGACACATTTACTTTTACGTGGATTCTATTGTATTCTTGATTTGCTAAAAAGACTGTTCTAGTGCTAATATTCTAATCGTGATTTTTTTCATGTATTGGATCCGATAGATATTAAAATTTACTTTTTAAATAACGTCTATATATAACGTATATAAATAACGTATACTTTTGTCATCTCATATGCACCAGAACATAGGTGCGTAAAGATCTATATTATATAACGAACCAGACCCTATATAAGTTATAGTCTTGATACTCCTAAAATGTTGCTATAAACTTTAAAATTTTCAATTAAAGTCATAATCTTCTGACAATCTATAGATTATATGTCTGTGTAATAAAGACAAATTAAGATAACATATTGTGGGTTCAACAAAAAAGCTAGGGAAAATGTGTATTCATGCTTTCATCTTAACGCCTATTCCAAAAGTATTATAAGCTGAGTTTCGAATAGTTCCTAAAAACTCAGCATAAAATCAAATATAATAACTTAAATTAATCGTTCTTATTAAATACTCAATATATTGTATTGAACAGAATTTTTTATTGGAATATTCTACTAAAAATTGACGGTTTAAGGAGTGGCTGGTTTAACCTTTCGAAACCAATCGTTTGTTCAGACGAACAATTACGTTAGCCTCTCCTAAAACTTGTTACAGCAAGTCGCTGTGTTATTGACCAGGTGCTGTGTGAAACTTACTAAAAACAAACGGTTATAGGCGTTACTTGTCCTGTGTTTTGGAACAATTCAACTAAATAAGAGTAGTCTAGTAAATTTAAACGATTTTAGGGACGGCTGGTTCTATGTTTCGGTACCTGTTGTTAAGACTGTGTATATCACAAGTGTGTATATCTGTGCAATAACTACTAAAAATATTAGGGTTCGACTACAATATGTATACTTAATACTAGCTAGAAAATCAAAATAAAACTATCATTGAAAGATAAATATTTTAATAATAATAAGTTGTGATTTAATGTCAGTTATGATGGAAGTGACTATTTTACTTAATAGAAACTATTGTATTAGGTAGATACGTTTCGAAAAGTATTGAACCACAACAATAAAAATTCTTTTTATATTCTTTTAATTAACGCTTACTCTGAGCTTTAAATTTGGCAGGGTTTAAGTTTAAACCTTGGTACTTCTAGTCTTAATAAATTATTCATGAAGAATTAAAAATAAGAAATAATTTCAAGAACACTAATGATGGATATATGGTCAGCCAAAAATTCAATAATTTTAATAGCATAAAGTTAAAAGACAAATCTAATAATAAGAGACAAAAAACTAATCACATAAATCCGATCCATCGACAAAAAAGTATTGAAATTGTTTTTTTCTGTAGATGTAGATTTCGTCAGGAAGATATGCTCGACCTCTAATCTACTTTTATAAAGTCGACCAAGTGATCATACTCATTATTGAGTAAAAGTACTTAAGACACTAAAACTCGTATTATCAAACACCATAAGTAAGGCAAACGAAATGGTAATTGAATACTATGAATTGTCACTGTTATCCGTTATTTAAATTAAAATGATCTTGTTACTAACTGAACATCTTCTTCAACATCAACACTATAATAACATGGTCGGCCGAGTGTTATTGTTGTAGTCTTGCAAGGGTCTGGCTGTGTAATTCCTTATAGAACTGCTGAACTGCACTTAGTTGTCAAACTTGAGGAGTGGATCCGGGACGTAGATCCGTGCGTTCTTGGAACCTTTAACACTATAGTATCATGGTCGGCCCAGTATGAACTTTCTGCTTAGTGGACTCCTAGTTAGTAGTGGTATATTATGACTGGTTCAATAGTTAATTGAAAACCAAAATATATTTTCATGTTATATAGATTTCTTTTATTTGCTAGTTGGGTTTAATATAGATTATCATATACGAATAATTTTCATTACAAATTTATTAATTTTATATACATTTATTTTACAGTTGCCCTTTCTTACATCGTACAGCTGGCGATACAGAACGGCGTTATCATTTACGATACTACAAAACTTGCATGTGTGTGCATGATACAGATAGTCGAGGCTATTGTGTAAAAAATGGACATCATTGTGCATTTGCTCACGGTTTAACGGATCAACGTCCGCCAGTATACGATATTAAAGAATTGGAAGCATTACAGAGCTCAGAAAACACATTGGATGGCACAACGTCACAGAATGCACTCGATAAAGAGCGTAATCTAATGAATGAAGATCCTAAATGGCAAGATTCTAATTATGTTTTAGCTAATTACAAAACAGAACCATGCAAGCGCCCACCACGCTTGTGTCGACAAGGATATGCTTGTCCACAATATCACAATAGTAAAGATAAGCGGCGTAGTCCAAGAAAATTTAAATATAGGTATGTACATTGATATACAATATATAAATATATATATAAATTTCGAATAAACACAACTTATACAACGTTTATGTTTTATTATAGATCAACACCTTGTCCAAATGTGAAGCATGGTGAAGAATGGGGTGAACCTGGTAATTGTGAAGCAGGTGACAATTGTCAATACTGTCACACACGCACCGAACAGCAATTTCATCCTGAAATTTATAAGTCGACTAAATGCAATGATGTGCAACAGGCAGGTTATTGTCCACGTAGCGTGTTTTGCGCTTTTGCACATGTGGAACGTAAGTTAACAACCAAACACAAGCATTTGTTAGTTTTCTTAATATATATTTAAGCTATTTTCCACAACCATTTTATTAAGCTATTGTTACGTTTTGAATAATCAATTTTTCTATTATTAAAGTTATAATTACTACTTGCTAACAAGACAAACAATTTTATTTATTTTAATATTAAATATCTCTTAATATTGTTGCTGTTTTCATTTGGCGCACTCAAAATCAATATCAAAATTTTTTACTTACCCACCAATGTTATGCATTTCGGCTCTTCATTTCACCATTTGAGAACAGCTTCAGAATGTGCATAAACAAAATTCCTGCACTTTATTAAGTTTATTTTTGTTTTTCTTTTTGTTTTTTATTTATTCCATTTTTAATATCAAACCAAAATGCATCAACTACAATCAATCAAACAATTATCATCATAACTCTCTCTCAAATGCATCGTTAATTGTTAACATTAAATAAAATATATACTCGTATGATATCCAATCACATAAAGCATATATAATAACTGAAGAAAAACCACGTGAACTTGATGGATTAACAACAAATATTGCTTTGAGCGAGTTAATATCAAGTGCACTACCTCCTGATATCAAATCAAAGGAAACAAACAACAAACCGCCTGGATTAATGGCAATTGGTGATAATGTATGTATTTTATCTATATATGTATTAATTATTATATATCAATAACACAAATGCACTTTACTATTACTTCCACGTTATATGACTCTTTATTATTACTTTCTATATACTAGTGTCTTATCAATTCACTCATAATATTTTTTATACTACATGTTATACTAGCGCCATCTATAATGCGTGTTCTTATAAATCAAATAAAAAATACTTTTAGTATAGAAGTTAGAATCTTGTGAGAACCTATTTATTTATTTACCTATTTTCTATGAAGGAAAGTGAAGGAAAGTAAAGTTTGGTAGTAATTGGAGTAGTAAGAACAACTTACTATAAGCCTTACTTTTAAAGAATAAAAAAGTACAACTTATCAAATTAAGTTGTATTCTGAATTTTTTAGTCACTATTATGACTTATATGTAGGGATCAGTAGAGCTGTCTCTTTGTATAACTGTTGCTGAATAAACTATTATTAAAATAATGTATTGCTAAAAATCCGCAGAGATCTATTTTCAAAAGTACGCACATTATGTCTAAATTATAAGAATATTTTGATGTTGTTTCGATATAGTCTTATAAATAATATAGCTTTCTATTGTAGTACATATATGTTGTAATGCATTATATATATATCACAGTTAAGTACAGCATAGCCGTGATTTTTATTATCTGTCCAATATAAGTAATTTCTCAACTAGGGACAAACCATCTCTTTTTCTTAATTTCACAAATCATCTACTATGGTAGATGATGGTACCTACAACATTTCTCTTAAAATTGTTTTAACAATATAAAGAGAATATATCTTCATTTCAATTTATTAATTATTTATAATATATAACGGTATATTTAATTTATAAACTTGAATAAAAATAATTATTATATTAATAATAGTATTAAATAAGTTATAATATTTAATTTATTTTTAATAGATTTGATTACATATTTTGATAATAAGTAATAAAATTAAATAAATAAAATAATATATTATAAAATTTAATTAATTTCTAATAATTAAATAATATTACATCATTTTCTTAATTTCTAATCAATTTATTGAAAATATGTTACAAATCTATAAATAATTCTAACATATGTAATCAAATAATATAATTTAGGTTTAAATGAAATAAAATTTATATAATATAATAATAATATATAATATAAAAATAATATATAATATTAAAATTATAAAAAATATTATAATAATATGTAATATTTAAATAATATATAATATAATATTTTATTATATAATAATACAAAATTTATTATTATATGTAAATAATAATATATAACATAATAAGCTATAATAATAAGCTGTAATAATTTTAAACATACTATTTCTAATAAAAATATATTTATTAATATATTTATTATAAGCTTATAATGCATATAGGCTTATAATGCATATAAGCTTATAATGATTTTTAGAACATTTTTTTTTAAATTTAAAATTAAAAAAATTAATATACAACTGATAACATCGAATAATAAAAATAAATAATTTATATAAAATTTTACTATAACTTATAAAACTAGTTAGCATAACTTTCACGAGAGGAAGCTATAAAACAATAGGGGTTTGATATTAGTACTTTCCACCTTAGAGCTTCTCTATATATTAGGTTTATGAAATTAACTTATGGATTTACTTATGATTGAAAATTATTGCTCAAATAGTAATTAAACAGTTTTTATATGAGAAGTGAGTTCTACCTTTTGACACCCTAACATATTCTGTCTATTGTGTTCACACACTAATCATACATAACGTCCTACTATTATTATCCAATACTACTTTTTCATATTATAAATTATTTGTTTAATGTTTGGTTTTATTCTCCTTTGTAGTTGTTGGGTATTGATAGTAATGATACGAATAACATTTTAGTAAATGCATTGGAAAAATCAACAAATCAAAGCAAATTTATTAATTTTTCTTTACCTTTGGATAAACTTTGTGAGTATAAAATTATTATTAGAATTTTAAATATTTCGTATGTGTTACTTTTTTAAATTTGAAGAATGCTTATGGTTGTGGATAAATTGCATTTAATTATATAATTTTATTTTGTGTAATTTAAAATCAAAAACATATTTTGTTTATATATATAAAAAAACAGCCTGTACCATTGATGATCCTCGTGAAAATTCACTCTCAGCCAGTTTAGCAAATTCAAGTTTAATGTCAAGATCTTCAGCGCCAATTAACATTCCTAATTCATCATTAAATAACTCATTGAATGGTAATATTATTTCAATTAAACAAACTTTATATTAGAAATTTCTACTTCTTTAATTAATATGAAAAAAAAATTTTTTTTTATGTTTTCAGATTTCAATTCTGGTGGTTTTGCTGTTAACATTCCTAGCAGTTCACTCAATTATAGTCCAACAAATCATACAAATTTATTTAGCGTTTCTGATGCATTCAACTATAGTAGCTCGAATTCGAATAAACTCAGCAATTCACTTACAGCAACACAAAATGATAGTAATAGTTTATTTTTCCCTTCTCGTATAATATCACCAGGCTTTACCGATGGGCTCTCCTTAAGTCCTGCAGTTAGGTAAGTTTTTATTTAATTTTATATATACATATATTTATATAAATTAATCTTTGTTTTATTCTTTGTGTTTTCAGAATAAGTGAATTGAGTTCAATACGTGATGAGTTGACAAGCAGCTCAGTAGGAAATAGTTTATTTGAAAACAGTTTGAATGCAACAAAAAATGCATTTTCTTTACAATCACTACAAAATCAAAATAATTCGGATGTTGGACGTTTCAGCGCTGAAATAATGTCAAAAAATGCACAAATTATAAAACTATCGAATCGTATTGATGATATTACTAGAAAAGTAAGTGATATAATTTGATGAAGGCATTAACCTTCATGATTTTTCTGTGTTCACTTTTAAAAATCTCACAATTCTGCTAAGCAAATATGGGATTAGGCTGTGCATACAAGAATTTGAGTTCAATCTATGCTTGGCTTTACCTCATTGAAGTGAATATGTTAGGTTTATCTTCTTAGACCCAGTTTGCTTTTAATTAAAGTTTTACCCACCTACCAGCATTTTCTCACTGCTAAATAATCTCTATTTTCTCACATATTCTATATTCTATACACATATTTCATGTTATCAGCTCGATAGATTTTTGCGAGCAAAGATTTTGTTTTAAATTTAATTTAATTGGAGTCATTACGTACTGCGTACCACGTTGCCGATAGTGGTAAGCAATTTTTGGTCGTCTGTTTGGAAGCGTGGCTGCGAGGCATAGCTCTGATGACTTAAGGAACTTTAATGTGAAGATATGGTTTTCAATACTGGTGACTATCGATATAGTCCGCAATAGGTACATACCCTTTTGTTAAAAGACCTAACACAAACATTATCCGTGAACTAAAAAACGGATGAATTTGTACCTACTTTACAAGCAGAATTTCGTGCACTTTAAGGCACAGCCATGAATTACTAGTTTCCAACTTCTTTTCCATTTATCTTTTCATCAATAATATTAATTTATGTACATAATATAAAACTTGAACACATATTTATATTGTTTTATTTTATATTTAGATTAATTTAGTTGAATTACAACGTGACAAAGCTAAACAGGAGGCTCTAGAATGGAAGGAACGTTATGACATAGCCCAAACGCAATTAAATCTATCAACAGAATTACGTAATTTATCTATACAAAAATTAAAGCAATTACAGGTAAATTATATATTTATAATCTTAACAAATTTTAAATTAAATGACTTATTTTTTTTCTCATCTAGTCGAAATTACGAGGCGATTTAGAGGATGTTGAAAAAGTATTATATTTAGAAAATGCGAAGAAATGCATGAAGTGCGAGGAAAATAATCGCACTGTGACACTTGATCCATGCAATCATTTCTTGCTTTGCGATAGCTGCGCCTGTTCCGTGACAGAATGTCCTTACTGTCAAGTTCCAGTTGTAACAACGCACACTTAAATGAGTTTTGTAAGGTAAACTACAAAAAATAGCAAAACAAAAAAAAAGAAAAGAAACTAATACTGTAATAATTTAGAACAGATATAATATAATAGGTACACTAAAAAATTATAGAACAAAAATAATTAGATGAAAACAAATTTATAATTTTAAATTTAATATTAATGTGTAGCATATGCAAAGATTATAGAATTGAAAAAAAGAATATATATACTATATATATATAGACATATTAACAATGTTTAATAGAAGCGAACAAGCGAACTAATTAAAAGCGTAAATGGTTTACATATGCTTGTAGTATTTTATAATTGCATATATAAAATATGCATTGCGAAGAACAATTTTTTTTCTTTGTTAAAAACTCGTGTGTGTTTTTGATTTCAAACGTCTTTACATATTTGTTTTCTGTTTACTATTATTAAATTAAATTGTTTTTACTTTAAAGCACTATAAGCTTAAAAACATACAAACATTGCAACGATAATATTTTATATAAAAATTGTATTAAGATTTTTTAAAACGTTCCAAAACATTTTTTACTCAATGCATCTTAAGTCCACTTTTGCATTTTGTTAGTTCAGTTTTTTCTTAATATTTTTTTTTTAGTTTGTATGAAATTTTAAAAATATTGTTTTATATTTAAAACCGCTTATTAAAATTTTATTTTTGTAAAATTAGTTTTTAATTTATATTGAATATAAAAATGTTGTATAAAAAAATAATTATTCACAGCTTTATCGAAATTTATATTTAAATTTATAATTTTATGCAAAAGACTTTTATTTGTGTTACGATTGTTTATGTGATTATTATAAAGCTATTGATTCAATTATGCATATAATTGTAATTATATATTTATTATTACTACTATTAAACTGTTTATATTATTACTATAATAACAATAGCAATAAAATTAGTTATTATTATTAATATTATATATATAATATTAATTATATATTATTTTTATTATTACAATTGCTACTATTATTACTGTAATATTAATAGCTATAAAATATATTAATAATAATTGTTATTAAAGTTATAGCAAAATTGTTGCTTTTTGCTATTAAAATTAGCAAAAATTTATTATTTCATTTAGTTATATTTTCTTCTTATTTTTTTTTTCCAAATTACTGATGTTTGGACACGTAATTAAATTTCCTTAAAGCTGTTCTTTACGAAATTGAAGTTCCTTCAGGTTAAAAGTATAATATTGATTTTTAACCGAATGTTATTTTATTCGGGTTACTCTAAACTAAGTTTGATTGTTTAGATTTTTTTTAATAACTTTGACTAAAACCTTACAGTTTTTTAACTTTCCTAAAAATTAATTTTTATTATATTGGCGCTTATTCTTTTTATTTTTTATATTTAATTTTAAACATTTTTTAAATTTTAATATTATTTATATTAACAACTTTTTATAATGATTTCTTAAAATTTTTTATTTTACTTTATGAAAAATTTTGTAATACAATTTTTTATTTTGTTTTGAATCTCAAATCAAATTTAATAAAAATTATGCGTCTTTTTGTGTATACATATACATTTAAATACTGTTAATTAATTCAATTAAAACTATATATAAGAATTTTTGAAAATTTTCAAACATTATGTGAAACAAAGTATTTCTTTTTAGTATGATGTATACTTCTTATAAAGATTATATTTGGAGCAAATAAATATTTATACATATTCATTTGTATCATCTTACATATTTAATATATTAAAATTTGTATTTATCAATATTTTTCCTTGTAATACATTATTCTTTTTTTTCTCCATATATTTGGTAGTTAATTTTTTGCTTATAAAAATCTGTTTATTTATATACAACAGCTTATTTATATTCAACAAACAATGATCTGCCAATTATTTTCACATATCTTTTCAGCAAAGTAGATCCAGTTCATTGTTTACTGAAACATGGCAAATATTAAATTATACAGATATATAATAAATTGATTAATTAAAAAATTTTTATTCATATATATTTTTAATTGTAATTGGTTTATTTGTTTTTTTTTCGCTTTATTTTCTGTAGACTTTTTCTTGCTTAAAAATTTTCCTTTTAATTTTATTAAAGGATTTTTCTTTTAACAAAATCTATTTTAAAATTCTATTGTTACTGAAATATTTTAATTTTGTTTTCATTTTTAGTATACAATTATAACAAATATAGATTGTATTATAATGGAAATATATATGCAAAAGTGCTTGAACATATTAAAAGTTTAACTTTATCATAGCATATGTATATTTGAGCTATATCATATAGACTTAGAAATAATACAATATAGAGATTTTTACTGAAATTCTACTCTATTCCATAGTACCGCAGTCATTTGAAAATTTAAATTTAATTCTATATTCAGTATTCAAGAATTTTCTTTACTTTTAAAATAAACTAGATTTATTTAGAGTGAAGGTATTAATATAAATTAATATCTTTTATTATTTCTTTCTCGGTCTTTGATTAAAGCTATAAACAATATTTTCTAAAAATTTCTTATACTTTGGAATCTGCTTACAAATCCCTTCTTAGCCAGAATTATTTTTTAAAACCTTTTTTGAACTTTTTAAAGGTAATGATATAAAACAAATATTTTGTTTTTAGTAAAAACCAATTTATATATTTTAATTTTAATTTTACTTACAAAAATTGTCATACTCACTCACTGATATATTTTTATTTTTAGTAAATAATTTAGTATTATTTTTTTAGAAAATTATGTGCTACTTTGTTTTTTAAAAGTAAACTTTTTCAATGTGTTTATAATACTATAAACAATAATTTTATGTTAATATTACAGCTTAAATTCAAGGTTTGCTTATCATGACAAAGAAAACACTTGTTTCTTGTAAACCAAAAAACAAATTTATATTGATTTTTTATTCTAGAATTAATATTTTATGAAAGAAAAGCATATATGTTTTAACAAATATATCTCCAAATGTCAAATTAAACATGTAAAAGAGTAACAAATCCACCATAAAAAGCCTAAATTTTAATAAAACACTTTCATACTAATATACTAATATTTAAAAAGATAAATGGAATGATGACGAAAAGTTGACTGAATTTACAAACAAAATATTAAGAAAAATAATACAAAAACCAATTTATGCTTTTAATAGATATTGAAGTTAGTACTTGATAAATAATTTAAATAAATATGAAATTGCTTAAATTGCACAATTAAAAAATTATGAAAAACAGTTTAAAATTATTTTTGTGACTTGCAATTCATTAATGTTAATTTCATTTAAAAATAATATATATTTTAATATGCATTAATTTTAGCGCCAACTGTATTAATAGAAAAATATAAGAAAATATTTTGTTTAACAATTTATTAACAATTTCTGCAAAACACTACAGGTTTCTAAAGTATACTTCTTGGCATTTATAAAGAAATAAAGAAAAAGTAATGAAAAAAATCACAAATATAAAAATAATATTAAACATATGTAGCATTTTTCAATTTATAAATATATATATTTTTTATTAAGAAATTAGCAATGGAAAATCTAAACTTTATAATCTTAGTTTGTGATAAGCTTTAATATATAAAACATATTATATTGTAATACATGTATTACATATAGGAAATGACGATTTTATTTGCTTAAGTTTTATTAAATAATTTTCTAAAAATTCTGCCTAAAAGCATGCTACTTTAATTAATATACTTAATAAGTTAAATAATGTATACATTATATGCACATTTTACAATCTATTGTTTATAACATATGTTATTTTTTTTAAAAGGAAAAATATGATTTCAATTATTATGATTTTTTTAATTATTATTAATCAATACAAATGATGAAAGTGCTTCATGGTTGAACTCTAATTGTCTTATATTATGGGATATTTTATGCAATACATACAGCCAAAGTATATAATGGAAAAAATATTTTTATAAAATATAAAAATGTAAAAATAAATATTTTTTTTTGTTTTACAAAATGTAACAAATTGTAGACAAATTTATAAAAGTAATTAAATTTTTAACTATTAACGATGCATTATTATAATTACATTGAAGTCTCGCCTACTCTTTAAACATAAACCATTTTCTTATTACTATGAAATAATGAAGTAATATAGTTTTATATTTCTTTATAATAGGAATATTTTATAAAAAATGCATTAGCTTCCATTTTTTAAATTTATAAAAGTACTTTTCATTTTAATATATTTTTAAAAAATGTATTTGTTTTAATTCTACGTTTAAAACTTTAATAAGTTGACACTAAAGCCTTTAATATTAATTGATTGGTATATATATTTATTTATACAAAAAAAAACATATAAATTTATATATATTAATCAGAATGTTAATGATATATATTAATTCTTTGTATGAAATTCCTTTTTTGCTTTATATATTTTTTATTTTTTTTATTAAAACAATAATTTATTTTCTTATGTATACATTTTATTTTAAATACTTATATAATATTTTTTATTTGGGTAATTTTATTAATGACTTTTTCAAAATTTTTAATTATTTTTTACAAATTAATTAAAAAAAATTCTTTAAGAACGCGGGAAATAATAGATAAATCATTTTACATCTTTAATAAATTGGTATAAATTATAAAACTTTAAAACTCATTTATCTTTATTCCACTGCCAAGCAGTTGTAATGCCATTTTAAAAATGGAAATGTTTTAGGTAAAAATATAGATGTGTTTTTATTACATCATTTTCATGAAAGAGTTCAACCTACTCATTTTAATCCTTAAATAATTATTAATATTTTTAAACAAAATCTATACATTTCTACAATTTTGAAAATTATATAAATTTGTTTTTTTTTATTTCTACACTAACTCTAAAATTAAAATTTTATCATGCTATAAATACACAAAACAAATATATATATTAGTATATATAAATATATACATATAGACAGACATATTATTATTAACAATTGGTGTAATTAGATTTTGAAACATATTTTTATTAATAATAGAATTGTTACAAAAGTTATTTAAAATATATATTTATATAGAAATTGGTGTGTAGAAAATA